TGTGTGTGTGTGTGTGTAATGACAACATCTTCAGCGTTTTAATTTCAACATAAAAAAACTTTACTGAATATTAAAAACACAAACAATAAACGTCTTCCTGACATTATTTACATCAGTTTCTGTACAGAGTGGAAAAGAACTGAGGCGGCGACAGAAAGAACAACAGATAATGAAGATGATGGAAGAAGAGATAATGAGGAAACATCACCTCTAAAGTAACAACATGTTTTGTTATCAAAGTTCACTCTACAGTTTGTGCATTCATTACAAACTGATACAGGATCAATTAACAAACACATTCATTAACACAATTAGGACGTCCCTTCTGATTATTTCTGTTAAAATATAAAATAACGTATTTGGCCTCTTTTAAATGGCACCTGACGACATCATCGCTTTTGGGCCTTAATTGACCCTTCCCAAGCCCCGCCCCCTTTGGCTCTGTCCTCCAATAACAGTTAAGCAAACATCGGCCGACTCCCCCCCCTTTGCTGTACTTAGCTATGCTACGTGCTAATAGCTAATCTACATCAGTCGCTGATGTTCTAGCTCGCCAACAATTAATGTAGATCAGCTGGTTAGTTAGTCGATCACAGAGCGGCCAGGAAGGACTGGACGATCGCACAGACACTGAGGAGGATCAGGAGGGGTGTGGCCTGAAGGAGAGGGGTGGAGCTCTTAAGTCGTACCTCCACGGGCAGGTGGTCGCTCACCTCCAGCACCTGGCAGGCAGAAGCAGCACAGAGTCAAACAAAAAGCACATTTCCATCCACTTGTTTCGGTGTGAATCCTGAATTTAATTTAACCTCCGGGGCTGCAGTTCCTGTAACGGCCACTAGAGGCTGGCTCCAGCAGTGAGTCCGCCTCCATAAGGCCTCATATTTAAATACTTTACAGCAGAAATAAAACATAGTTACAGCCTGGTACAAAAAACACTTAATGTAGATTAGGTAACAAGATAGTGTTACTATCGGACACACTGGACCTTTAACTGCAGGGTTTTTTTACAGTTTCAGCTGAAAATGACTTTGAGAAGCTGGATAAATCACTGCTGATTGGTCGGAACGGAGGCGGGTGGGAATGTAAATCAATGTCTGAACCACGTTTCATCATCACAGTTCATCCGACAGTCGTTGAGATACAGTCAGACATTATTATTCATAGAGCAGCTAAAAATGAAACAAACATACCCTCGTCCTGGGAAGTTTGAACTCTTTGCCATAGTTGAACACTTGTGCAGACGACGGACTGATCGCCTTCAGGAAGTTCTGCCCGTGTACCACAATCCTAACACACAGACACAGTGTGAAAAACATTCAAAACCATCAAGCATTTTCTGTTTCCTCCCATTATTACCTCACATTTTACACACTCACCTGTCATAAGCACAGGTGGTCAAGTCAGGGACGGTGGTGTCTGCTTTGTCTCTGATCAGCCAGTGGAAAGTCGTATTGGAGAACAGTCGGATGCTTTTCCTGTTGGCTCGGGTCACGTAGGCACAGCCGGCATGGAAATCTCCCAGAAACATCACGTTCTACACACACAAACACACATCAGTAACACATTTTCATGCTAGACTGAGGCTGAATCTAACATATAGCTTATTATAAATCCATTAGCATAAAAAAGATGAAAATTTGCTTCATATTCAGTCTGAAACACCTCAGCGAACCTCCCTTCCTCCTAATGAAATCAGATTTCCTCACCGTGTTGTTCCATTTCTGACTGACTTCCTCAAAGACGTCGTAGAGCCGGTCGATCTCCTGGACGGCCTGTAGGGGTTCACTGTGCAGGGGAACCAGAATAAACGACTCGATCACTGCAGGACAGGAAGGGGAGAGGACAAACAGGAAGGAGAGAGAGGAAGGGTAAAGAGTCAGTCCACTCGTCCTGATGTCAATGAGCTTGTTTAGGCGCGTTCTGCGTCCACTGACCGGTTTTCTTGCTTTGGAAATGGACGGCAAACGGCTCTCTGACGAAGGACTGCTGCTTCTGGTACTGATGCTGATCCGTCACGTTCACCGTCTCGCTCCTGATCAGAGGAGGTTCAGAGGGAGAAGTCATATTTAGAGGCAGCAGAGGAATGAGAATCCAAAGTGGAAGAATTTTACTTGATCTACTGACTCAGGTCTGGACAAACTGGAAGGATTGGACAATACTTAAACAAAAAGATATGATCAACTTTCATTGATCATCTTAGTTTTGTAATCCAGTCCTCATTGCCAGGGTCCAGATCTGGCATCACGGCATAAAGCATATCAGTCTCAACACATTCCCACTAATTAAATACTGCCGCTTGGTCAGTGGCCCTCCTCCCTCTAGCATTATTTATGTACCAAGCCCCCCAGGAAGAGTGCAGGGGTTCTAAGCCAATTTGACACAGTGGCCCAACCGTGTAATTACAGCAATGGTACACTGTTTACTGAGCTAATAGTCATTTACAAGCTGAATACAGAGCTAGAGTTAGAGGTGCCCCCTGCTGGCCATTAGAAAGAACCTTCACCTGACGTTGACGTCGCTAATGGGACACTAAAAGCGTCATACTTTAAGGCGGAGGGCCACAGACTAAGTGGCAGTGAGACTGGGTTAGATATGTTGGTAAGTGATTGGTTGGAGACAATGAAGTCTGATATCAGTTAATAATCCCCCTGGACGAGCAGAATTTGGATCCCAGCACTGTGTTCTTACCTGTAGATGAAAACGTACTGCTCCATTTCTTTGGGGGAGTTTCCCAGACTCTTACTGGACACTGACTGGTAGTGGTAGTGGTCATACCTCAACACAACACACAAACAAAGAGAAACTTGATTACTCAAACACAGCAGTAAGACAGCAGTCGGTGCAGCAAACAAACACAAGGATTTTACCTTTACCTGTCCAGGTGATTATCATTGAGGGTAAGGATCTCAGCCTGTTCACATCAATAATATAAAGATGGACGACATGAAGCCAAAACACATCGGCTGACTGCAGTACAGCTTTCTTGTTTCTTATCACGCTGATGTTTGTTCAAGAGTAAATTTTTATCATCAGCTGGGTTTTAATTAGTTATTTGAAGATATAAAAAGAGGGTTTTAACTCATAATTGAATGGATGGGATCAGATCATTACTGCACAGACTCCGAATGGTGAAAGATGGCAGCAGCTGATATTTTGGCTTCATTTTTGTAGAGCGGGAGAAAGTGGAGACGACGTGATGATTCACAGTTAAAGCTGGAGGTTTACCAGTTAAATAAATGCTCTTTAGCTTCACTTTCCCCACCCAGATTTATCCTGACAGTTCAGGATCGAAAACAGTAACAATCTTTCTCCTCAAATCTTAAAAATTTCTAGAATTAATTTCCTTTTGAATTTAAAGGTTGTGGTCAGTCACTCTGGAGAAAGATAGCAGATTTTTTGAGGCCCTGTTCACACAACAACGGTTTGCATTCCTCGTGTACACAGATCTGCAAAAACGACGTTGTAGTATGCACGCCATGCCAGTAGGTGGCAGTATAACTATAGCAATTCCAATGTGGGGAGTATAAACAGGAAGACACTGGACTATAATTCACTTTCAGGCCCCCAAAATGGCATTGTCGTGCGAATGAAAGGCCAAACCAAAACAAAAGTTGACAGTTGTATGCAAAAACGGAGTCTCATTCCCAGGTCGTTAAATACCGATACTTTGGGTTATGGTAAATGGGAAACAACACAACTCCCAAATACAGAAAACCCAAAGTCTGTATTTCATGACCTGGGGATTTCTCCAGAATGACTGACCCCACCTTTAAAGGTCCAGTGTGAAGGATTTAGTGGCATCTAATGGTACATATTGCACCCTACCCTTCCAACCTACGATGAAACTACGGTGGTCGGGAAACTGGCTAAAAACACAAACAGCCCTATATCTAGAAGCAGTGTTTGGTTTGTCTGTTGTGGGCTACTTTTAAAACATGGCGGACTCCATGGAAGGCAACCTGTGCTGTATATTCAGGTGATTATACACTAAGTGTTACACACTGGACCTTTGAGTTTGATGATTTACACTTAAAACATACATAATACAAAATACAAAAATAAAAACCACTGGAGTAAACTATCTTACTTTATATAAACTATTTGAAACAAGCTCCAACAGTAAAGTGCTGCTCTAACATTGAGGCTTCAGTACTAATAATCTAATTATGTTGCATAGAATCAGATATCAGTCACATTTTACTGCACTAAATGTACTTTTACTACTACTTTAGTAATATATTTAATATTTCCTTTACTTGAACTTTAACTTGTAATGGAGTATTTTTACATTGCTGTACTTTTACTTAAAGGGTCTGAGCACCACCAGCCCATACTAGCCTTTGCAATGACCAGCAAGTAGAATTTAGTGGCATCTAGTGGTGAAGTTACAGATTTTAAAAGTGTGTAGAAGAAACTGCAAAACTCGCAGAAAAAAAAACCCAATTTAGATCCAGTATTTAGTTTGTCCATTCTGGGCTACTGTAGAAACATGACGGACTCCGCCAGAAGAGGACGCGCTTCCTCTGTAGATAAAAAGGTCTCATTCTAAGGTTACAAACACACAATGATTCTTATTTTCTGATTATACACTAATGAAAACATACCTATGAATATTAAATTACATTTTAGTCAATAGAGCCTCCTAAATGTGACACACTGGACCTTTAAAATAACCTGATTGACAAAAGTTTCCCGTATATCCACACATGCACACCAACCTAAATTTAGACTGTTAACAACATAATCCAATGGCAGCAATCATGCTTTTAATACCATGTGAATCAGTTGTTTATACCGTCAGAATGGTCCCACGGACGCCAACAGACATGCATTTGTAAGACGAGCGCTCGTAAATGTCCGTTAGCATAACCAGATAGCTTAACTCTAACCGGCCAACAAAAACGAGCAGACAGGAAACAACCACCGGAGACTTTAAATTAGTTCTTCACAAACAAACAGAAACAAAATGAGCAAAATCAAATGTTCCTTGTTAGATGTCACCAGAAAGAAAAAGCAGCTACCTGCTGACCAAAGCAAAGCCTTGTTCCAGTAACAACACTGGGGTTACATTAGGCCATTTAGTGTATAACAATGGCATTATATACACCACCATCATTAAATGGAGTGACTAATATTTTTACAGGAGTAAATGTCACTCTACTAGAAAACTGCTTTGAAATTTATACCTCAGTAAAAGTACATAAATGTAGTTCAGTAAGAGTAAAAGTGACTTATCCTCAATATCTACAGTATTTATAACAGCTTGTATTACACCTCTTCTCAAAACGCCAAAGAAATCTATCAAAACTGCATTTACCAATTCTCCATTATATTATCTGTTGCCGTCAACTCTGATCAAATTTTTCACTTTAATTGAGCTTCTGACTTTCCTCGATGTGGCGTCCCACAAGCCCTATTTCATGTCTCTGTAGTAGATACACAGAGCTGTTACTTTAACCTTAAAATAGACCATAAATAATATTACAGTGATTAAAGTTTAGGTAAAGATAAGTCACATAAACTCTTATAAGTTAATGTTGTCTGACATTTTAACAAATCGATTGATAAACCTGTTGAAATTGAGTCCATTGAGACCGTTGCAGAATAACTGTAACCGTGACTATCCCAAATACAGTGTCACCTGATCACAGGCATTTGGATTAGTAAAGAGAGTAAATGAAGGCGATTGGGATGATTAATGATGATTAGATGATGTTCACTGTACCTGTCAGAATTCCTGTTGAGGCAGACAGCAGACACATACAGGTCAGATCACCACATTGTATTAATACACATGATGCGGTTAGTATTAGTGTCTGAGTACATTCATCGAAAGAGTTACAGTTGATGCTGTATCTTTATTAACAGTTTTTATTGTTGAATAAAGAAGAATTTAATGATAAAAACATAAATATTTTGCTGTGATTTATTCTCTGGACCTGGCAATGAGCCCCGTCTTACCTTTACTTTAAAAACATCTAAACAAAATGATTCACTCTGTTGTGGCTTATTGAAATCAATTAAATTCAACTGTATAAATATCAGCTACAACCATGATACTGATAGAACAATACAAGTTCGGACAGATGTGAGCGTGGTTTTGTTTTATAGACTAATTGATGCAGATTATTGAAAAGTCTGCTAATAACCTGATTATTAACTATCAGCAAAGAACACAAAGGGTTTAATTTTTTGTAAAATAAAGCAGTCAGTGAACACAGTGTGACCTGCTTCAGTAGTTTTCACTGTACCTGTTGAGAGAAGCCAGCAAACGTTGGATGGCTTTACCGTCAGAATCCTTCACCCCCTGCAGGAGGGTGATATCACAGCGAGACACGATCTGCACAGACAGACACATTTTAGGCATTAGACCTCTGGGTTTGAGCACATAAATGTCATTTAATTCCTTTTATTGTCTGTCTGAAAACCACTTTATTTAATGACTACAGCTTATTTCACAGTGTACTAATGTTTTAAGTCCCTCCAGTCAGAAATCAGTTGTTCTTCCCGTTCCTACAATGTAATGTTTGAACAATGTCTGTGCAGAGTTTGAGGATTTTTTAAAGGATTTTAATGTGGAAGTTATACTTTTTTTGTAGACACACATTATTGTTCCAGTCAGAGATTATATATATATATATATATATATATATTTTTCAATAATCTCTGGAGGGGATCTTTAAGATTAATGGACATGCAGGTTTTTAATATAAATAAATTTAAATAGAGGTTCAAAGTTCATTCTTGGAAACAGCAGTTGAGAAAACTTGTTATTTTTACAGTAAAAAACACTGTGGTTGCTAGAACTTTTTCTACTATTACGCTAAAAGGATATAAATATTAATAGTAATGTTGAGTTTTAATCCATATTTTACCATATAAATACAAGTTTTTACCATCAAAAGACTCAGTTTTGCCATATGAACACTATGACGGTGGTTTTCTGTGCAATTTACAGTCTATAATATAAAAACTACTATCTACTTTATTCCATATAAATTCCTTCCTATAAATAAAGGTTTTGCCATTAGATATCAGTGTCTTACTTACACAGAAACTTTAACCTATTTAGAGATTACAGTCTTTTGCTGTCATGGTTTGACAGTTTTCACATTGTACCCTGCAAACAGGTATGATTTTATTCTGCCAGCGATTTTAGTTCCCAGCGAGTTTTTTTTTTTGCAGTTTTCACTTCCTCCCACAGTTTCATTGCAAAATGTCTATAAACATTGCAACATGCACTTTTTTAGAAAAGCTGCCATACACAGACATTTTAGGGCAACAATCTTTTATTTATGAATTATTATAAGATACTAAGTCATTATTTTGAGAAATTTTACATTATAATAATTTACAGAATCCTTTTTTTTCAGTCACATGGCAGAATTGACTTTCATAGAGAAAATACATTGAAACATGGAAACAGAAGCTAGATAGAAAGGGGAGCTTCAAGACCCTCAATAACCCCCAATTAACTATACTGTGTGTGTGGTTTGTGTTGTGTGTGTGTGTGTGTGTAGTGTGTGTGTGGTGTGTGTTCCTACCCTCGTCAGAGTTGTCCTCACTCTGTAGTTCGATACTTTCGTGTTGGGTGAAGTTCGGCACATTGTAGGCGCAGATCTGAATCCTGAAGCCTGCTCCGATGAAGAGGGAGAAAGAAAGAGAAGAGGAGGAGACGAGAGGAAGAGGAGGGGAGGAGCACACCTCATGGTTGGGACTGAGGAGTACAACAAAAGACACACAATAACCCTGTTATAAGCTCTGTCTGTGTTGATTTATTGATCAGTGAACTGCAGTACTCCAGCTGAACCTACACTGTCTCTTCTTTTGCTAATCTGGTTTTGTTCCTTTAAAGTTTAACTGAACGTCTCGCAACACCCAGCAGGGATAATCGCCCACACCCACAGGTAACAGGTGTGTCAACAGTCAGTGACTGTCGGCTTTTAAAGGAGCAACACGTTGCAATTTAAAGGATAATTATTATCCAATTATTAAGAACAAATCTCAGTCACACCAAACCGTCTATTTCTGACTTCCTGGCTGCCGTCGGAGCTGTGTTCTTAACTGAAGACGTCCTTAAAAAACAGCCTCACAAATATTTAGTTTTTCATTTTTAAAAATCCACATTTGGTGCTCTAGAGTTGTATTGTACCGACAGGGTATGTGGGATTGAGTTGAACTACAGTGTGTTGTGTGTGTGTGGTGGTGGTGTGTGTGGTGTTGTGTGTCGTGGGTGTGTGTGTGTGTGTGTGTGTGTGTGTTCATGGTGATGAAGAACTCGTCACCCAGAGCAACAGTGCGGCTCATTTAATAGATTATGGACAACAATGGATGAATGAATGAATCAAACCCTGCAGGCCGAATGTCTCCACCCACCAGTTATAACAGTTTATATATGTCTGTCTAGACTCATAATATATTTAGTGAAGTTATCACTGTATCGATGGTACATATGTATGATTCCAGTGAATATACATTACACACTCTGTAAAGATGGATTCTTATAGGCCGCTGGTTCCCAAACTGACTCAGTGACAAACAGTGAACTCAGTAACTGATGAGCAACCCGAAAACATAAAGCCTCTGACCTCAGCTGTCACCTGCACAGAGGCATAAAATCACAAATGATCACTTTCAGCATAAATATCTTCTTCAGGGAGGACGAGAAGCAACAGAGCCGATTGTAAATGTGACCTTTAGTTCAAGAAACACGGGAGAGATAACTGACAGGGTTTGGTTTACAGCCATATAGTGGTGCACAAACACCACCGGGGACACCTTAAAGGCTGTTTTGTGTGTGTGTAGATATTTAGCCGCGCTGCGTGATGGTATGTGTATGGTATGAGTCAACAGAAACACAATGTTTTGTTCACTCGCAGTCTTTATAAGAGCTGTTTTATGTTTGACTCCAGGAACTGAAGTCTCCTCTGAATCAGGTCAAATGAGTCAATAAGTAGAAATGATTAATTGAGCGTATTAACTGTACGAGGGAGGAGTCATTCATACTGTATATTAGAAAAGAAGAACCGGTTTGTGTGTTATTTCACAGCTATAAAGAAAACTATACATTATATGGTGGCACGGTCAATAGGCTCGACGAGGCTAAAATCAAGGAAGTTATATTTATAAATCTACAACACATGGTTAAAGGTTTACAGTCTCTTCATGCTACACATACAAACACACTCAGGAAACAATTCTGCAGTAAATTTTTTAAATTTGAATGTAAAAAGAAACCTGAACACAGAATCCACCTTTAATCTGCCTGTATGGAGTTTATCACCTTGATGGTCTGAAGAAAGAAGCTTCCTCTCTTTAATTTGCACAAAGAGAGCTGTGATTTTAACTCAAATTATAATTGAAACTGACTACATCGAACACAAACTCAATTTTGTAAGTTCAAAAAACTTAGTTTTGTAAGTTACTTTACAAAATACAAACTTTTAACTTACAAAATTTGAGTTTGTTTTGCTTAAAACTTTTGATGTAAATCAGTTTCAACTATTTTTTGAGTTAAATGAACATATCTGGTTTTAAGTGCAGGCTAAGCTGCTAGTCAAGCAAAAAAAATCCCAAAAGCAAACAGCAAGTTGACTCCAGTGAAAGAGTCAGAGAACAGATTTTACTCCAGATATCAGCTATAAACTGTAACACATTAGACTGTTTTCACTCATATTTATCAAATCTAATAAAATAAATTTTATTGCCACATGTTTTGGTAGAAACCACGCACAAACTCCACAGCCTGCTCCAGCCGGGATTCGAACCCCTGACCTTCCCATTGCTGTCAGGCTGTGACTGTGCTAACCACAGAGCCACCGCACTGATCTCAAATCCAAACCAATGTCAATTTTTTTCCACTCAGACGTGCTGCATTGCGACATTAAAACCGTGGTGAGTCAGCGACTCTTCACGCCGCAGTGTGACACCACGAGCTGGTTCACAAACAGGTGAGTAGGTGGAGAAATACCTGGACACAGTGAACTGATTTAATCTGTCCTCAGAAACTGGTAAACGCCACAGAACAACAGGACTGTGGGTATGTGTAACTCCGCGTGCAGGGAAGGAGACGCATCACAACCAATAATCACAGCAGCAAATATTAACTTTAGACTTTAATATTAACCTGTAACTGTCGCTGAACTTTAAGAGATTTCCCTCCTTTTCAAAGTCAGACAGAGAGTGAATGTATGACAGGTTGAACTGATCTGATGAAGGCCTGCGAGCGTGTTCAGACCTGAAGCACTGAGACTGAGAGAGCACAGAGTAACAATCTGAGCCTGGCAGAAACGTTCAGTCCTTAGCTGGTTACAGCAAAACACTATCTGAGTGATTCAATTTTAGTTTACTCACTCCATCACTAACCCTGCAAAATAATAAGAAATAAATCCGTCCAGTTTTGTTCTAAATTGTAGTTGTAATAGAGTATTTTTATAGCGTGGTATTAGTCATTTTACTAAATTAAAGACTGAATATTTCACTGTGTTCAATAAGACATTTTAACTACAAAATAGTTGAAACGGCTTTACATAGAAACTTAGAGTTCAAAAAGATGTCCTGCATTTTAGGACTTTTACAGCGGGTGTGTTTGGTGCAGTGGGGCCCAGATTAAAATACAGCTAAAGTTCTATCAAGGCTCAATTTTGATTACAAAACAACTTTCTATGTAAAATCAGTTTCAACATTTTTTTTTTCCAGTTAAATGAACTTTTACAGTGTTCCTCCATACCTGGTGATCTATAAACCACAGAGAAGCTTGTAATCGACCTGCACACGTCCATCAAACACGCCACCGCGGCGTGTTGGGACAGACATTCCTTCAGTAAAGGTCTGTGTGTCAATGGCCGCTGCCCATAAAGTAGATTTTATTAGCTGCAAGAACTGCTAGCTGCTACAGAAATGAGCGACTTTAACATAAAGCTGTTGCTGAAGGCAGGTTAGTTAACACACACACACAGACAGACACGCACACACACACAGACACACCCAGTTGTTCTCCCAGCCTCTTCAGCCGCCGCGCTGTGTGACGCTGTGTTACCTAGGAGCGACATGTTACAAACACTTTGGCCTTCACACAGGCCCGATTTCAGCACACACACACCACCACCACACACACGCCTACACACACATCACAACACACCACACACACAAACTTTACTTAATTTAAATGAACCACAAACGTGTGAGTCTGCATGAGGAGCTGTGAACAACACACTCACTACCTGTTTATGAAGCTCTTAAAGTTACCGTTTAGGTCAAAGAGTCGAGAGTCGTCTCTGTTTGTTTTATCAGATTTCAAACCGCTGTGATGTAACAGGAAATATAACTTCACTGTATTCCTGGAAGTTCACTGTGTTACTGAGCAGAGACAGTAAAGTCTTACCTGATACCTGATACCTGATACCGGCTGATTGTTTTGGTACCACGTCGGTTGAGGTCCCTTCCACCAAACCCACATTTTAAAATAGCCAAGATACCATCAATAGCAGCTACATTTTTTTATTATTATTATTTTTANNAGCTATCAGATGTAACCAGCTAGCATCTTAAACATCTAATTTAAGTTATTCGGACACTAAAACTATGAGAACTCAAGAATTTGAGAACTGTATTTTCCGTTTACAGGATCGTTTAAAGGACACAGTGTTTAGGAATTAGTGGTATTTAGTGGTTACTGTAGAAACAGGATGGTTCAACATGGTGTCCTCTGTGGATAAAAACGTCAAACAACAGAGAGCATTAGCGGTGTCAGTCAGAGGAAACAGGAACAGGAACTTTTACACAACTCAGGACTTTATACCTTCAGCCTCGAGAAGTTTCTGCTGACCTAATACAAACTGTGGGGAAATACTTTAACTCTGTGTACATGAAGATGACCCAGCCTTCCTTCGAAGTGATGAGTTTGTGTTAATCATAATCCGTTGTGTCAACACAAATACACAACGGTTTCTGAACAAACCACAACAATTGAGGACGGTTTGGAAGAGAAGCTAATAGTGTTTGTTGCTGCTGCTGTTTGAACTCGGATCTCAACATTAACTCAACATAACTAAGATTCTGTGATAATGTTCATGTTCACTTCTGTTTAAATATTGTACAAAATGTACGAATCTAAAGGAAGATATTCTGTACGATTAATTACAACCACTTTTGGGTTAGGTTACCTCTTATAGGTAAAAACTACGTATATCATGAGCCTGAAGAGCTCAGGATACATCTTGTGTACTTCTTTTTATCTTCTTGTTTATTTTTAACAGTAATTTCACTCATATTTCTTTAATCCACATTCTCTTATTATTTAGTTACTCGTCACAAAACGCTCCACCAACAGACAAAAACTCTTTCGTCCCCCTGGCATCAGAACTGTCACAGCCTCTCAGTTTAAAGGCAGCGGGGGGGACAATCTAGACAATTTAGATAATGGACAGTGTCCTACCCTTGTATTTGCTACTGGTTCTACTCTCACTTGCCTGTTTACTTCCACTTCCACTGTTTACAGTTTGCAATGTTTACTGTAGCTACTACTGTATATATTATATACATACATAACATTAACTTTATATCTTATATCTTATTTTTGATTCTGTCCATAAGGTCAGTTTTAATCTTAATTTAATGTA